TACCCCAAAATGGTACCATTGGTTTTGACCCACAGCCACACCAGTCGTGAATCGCTGTAAGGCTTATGGACTTGGACATGCCACATCCCCCCACGATATCGTTCATCAACTGGCTTGCCACCGACGCTCAATGCTGCACATGGCGGCTTTAAATCAAAAATCATGTGCGAGCCGTCTGGTGGTAAGCAACTCATCCAATCCCATCTGCGCAAAGTCTGTGCAAAGATCCAAGGCCTATTCTCTTTGTAGCTACAAACCTTCCTTTTGCAACTTCTCACTTTGGCTCAGCTCCGTACCCCCCTGGGCTCTTTCTGGTCGTAGGCCCCCTGGCGAGCGTCGCTTGCCCATTCTACCAGTCCACCGCTCTGGGGCCTCATAGGGGTCGTTCGCATTGTCCACCATGTCTGCGCCTGAGATTCAGTCGCGGGACGATTTCCGCTGGCTGGCAAAGCCTGTCATGACCACTGCCTCTTCAGAAAGGACTCCTCAATGATATGGCCATACATCAAAATCCTGTACCCCCAGTGAACATCCCAATTCCCACCAAAGTAGACTAAAATTTGGTGGTGCACCTACCCCAAAATGTACCAATGGTTTTGACCCACAGCCATATATTGTTTGCATGCAACGTCCACGCTCGCTTTGCAATCAAACTGCAGGTCTTGCCAGCGGTTCATGACAGACGTGACAGGCAGCAGCAATTTGCAGTGAGCACACTTTCCTGTACTTGAATCTGATGGCATGGAGTTCGCAAGTGACACTTGGATTGAATTCTCAGGCGGCAAGTAGATCTTGGAAACCCGTCAGCATTGTGAGGCATCACAAGCCTACAGCTCACACCTTGCAGCCTGTGCTAGACTTTTGTAGCCAATGCATGCGGCCATGGGCCGCCAAAAAAAAGAAAGAGAGAGAGGCTGTCCCTTTGCGCACAAATGGCGTAAGTAGCCAGTGGGAAACCATGCATCGGACACCACTGCCGTCACCAAAATTGGGGCGGCTGTTATGGTGCCCCTCCAGCCAAAGCAGTCACCACGCCTCTTGCGTGTGCATGCAGGTGATGAGATCTGCTGCCCATCATCACGAGTCACAAGCAGCTTGGTGTCGCTGAATTTGCCTCGCGTAGGCCTAGCCGCGGCTATTTCTGGTGTAAGCACAGTGCTTGTAAACTCAAGAGCCGCTGTCAAAGCAAATCTGAATTGACGAATCTTACGTGAGCTATTCCTTACGGTACCTCGGCGTCCAACCAAACTGTCCCCAGCGTGCCTGGAGGCCCCAAAGCAAGAGAGACTGCTTGGTACCTCCATCGACATCTGTCTTTCTTGCACAAGATACTGCGGGTGGACGAAATCCATTTCGCACCACTTGGAAACCATGGTTGAAACTTGAAACCATTGTCTGTTGGTATTTACAAGGGAATCGAATCAGAAACCAGGGATTCTTAGGTGCTGCGAAACGGATTTCGCAAACCCATGCAGGCGCACAGATCCCTTAGAGGCGTCGGCGCCTGGCCTCCTGCACGGATCGTTCTGAGCTGCCAGTTCTAGCTTTATGCTTGCTCCTTGGCATGTGAAAAACACATACCAGACAATGTGTGATATGATTAATATGAGTGAATGGGTGGCTGGGAGAGAAGTAATACTTGCTGTGCTACCCGAGTTCATACGTTGGCTGTGTCACCGTGTCACCTCGATGTTCAGCTCCGGCTGGCCGAATACTTCCGAGTCGCCCAGTGCCTGGCATGGCAGTGGCACATCTTCGTACATCCCTGAGGTCAAGTCCAATCTGATGACATTGCTAGCATTCAGTCTTACCATTCCGCGGGGGAAACTAAAGCCCTGTCGCACAGATCCAGCGTCAAAATGTCGCGGGCGGGACCATGTCGAGTCATGATCAAAGCTCGCAAAATGCGCGGATGGCCATCCATATTGCTATGAACATGGAACATATTCCAAGGATTTACATAGAAGAACTTGAAAAAGCAAGCGCTGCTGGAAAGAGCTCTCTTCTCGGGCCACGCCTCTGGCATCGGCTCCGATTCCTGTCGCTGGCTGGCCGGCCAAATCTCTGTGCCTCCAACCCCTCTGTTTACTTCTATTCCAAGTCGCTGAAACTCTGGAGCTTTGCACTTGCACTGCCAGCGCTCCTCAGCTTCGCTCTGGTTCATGTTGTCCAGTGTCGCCTCACGTCCGGATCGGATCGCCAGCGGTGAGATGCCGCAACATTGGGGCCAGTTGGCCGGTTGCAGCCACAAAGCCAGATGTTGAAGGAATAAAACGGAATCAACTCAGCCGCGAATGGATATGGTTTACTTGGGTATTGATTAGGTAGCTGCCGTCCCCGACATTGGGCTACAAGCCTCCTGTGCTTGTCCACTTCTCTGCGCAGACTGATTTAACTTTCCCGAACCCCCCCGTGCCTGTATACATCGCGCCAGATCGCCAGTCATTTCCTCAATTGGAAAGCTGGAACATTGTCATGTCAACCTTCACTGGCGCTGGAATACATTCAGGGATAAAATATTAAGCAACTCTTCGTGCTAGCGGAAGAAGCTGAAAGGCAAACTCCTCACTCAGTGGATGACGTGCTCCTAGGCCCGGACTGCAGCGTCACTCTTGGCCTTGTGCTCAATGAAATGCCGCACCTCGAAAAGCATCTTCAATGCCAGTGCACCGTGCAAACTGCCCAGCAAATCGGCTCGACACAAAGACCTAGCAAAAGGAGAGAAGAGCTTGGTGTCTCAAAATATGGGGGGCCGGGGTGAGGGGGGGGGCTGGCACTGACAATGATAATTGTGTTTTTTTGCAGCCCCTTGGGCCCCAGCCATGCCGTGCGTCCATGGCAGAGGCTTGTCCTGCGGTTGCTTCAACCCCCCCTCTCAAGGGTCACGGATCAGCTCCAGTCCCAAACGATCTCGACCCATTGATCCAGGATCACAGCATCAGCTTCCTGCACGGCAAGTCTGAAAACTTGCCTCTGTCTTCCAGCATAGGACGCTTCGTCTGTGGCTCTTTGAGTTGCGAAAAGCAGAGCTCCTGTCGAAAGCGGGCAGTGCCTTGGACCTGACGGATCGCACATCGAGCGGTGCTTAGCTTCGGCTTTTTCTCTAGGGCAGTTTCGCAGTCTTTGCCCGAACATAAGCAGCTGAGCAAGCACTAGAATGAGCAACAAGCACTGGAGTTACGGTGAGGCCTTGAATCGATCGCCGTAAAGCACGTCAAAGGTGTAGCTTTGCTGCACAAAGCGCATCTCCTACGCAGGCTGCCAGTCGTGCATGATAACTTGGCTGTCTGGCTTGGCCATTCTCCTCAGGCTGTCTCACCAGCCGCCAAACTGATGTCGAGCCTCGGCACAACACACAAGTACACTTGTGCTTCTCGAGTACTTGGCTTCGCAGCACGCTTCCCTGCCCTGAATTCGTGGCTGAGCTCGTTTGGGACGTTCAGCAAACGCCTGGCATGTCGAGTGAGTCCCCCACTACAACACAAAGCCTCCAGGCAAATCGCTAGGAGGCAAGGCATGGGTCACGCCTGGCAAAGGCTGGAACGTCCTCGGGCACCGGAGCCATGTAGCAGCACTTGCGCACCTGGCGCGCTAGCGGAAAGGGGCAAACCAAAGCATCGGATATCAGCTGCTCCGTTGTTTCTGTCGGATACCGGTATTTGGCTGCGGGTCAAAAATAGGTCCCCAAAGTGGAACCCTGGTAAATGAAAACATAGACTAAAACCTACGGTCCACCGGTTGAATTTCGACCCAGACCCATGAGAGGAAGGAATTGCAGCAAGGCTCCCGCCTTTGCGCCAGGCACTTGGGTGCAGTCCACCCAGTTGGTGGTGTGAAAGTCGTGGCAGTTCGCCACCTAACCCCGAGACCCCGAGCAAAATGCCCGCCGTTGAGATCCCCCGCCTCTGCAAGGAAGTTGATCAAGGGGCAGGTTTGAGGACTGGCACGGAAGCACGAGGTCCAGTGCGGCTGCCACTTTGGACAACACACATCGCTGTTTTCGAGAAAAGAACCGCCGACTCCTTCCTGTTCCGAAGCCTTTGGAGCGTGAGATACAAAATGGTAAACTGGCGAAGCCAGGAAGCATCCCAGGTCCCATCCCACACATCCCAAGATCCTGGAGACTCAGGAGTCGTCAGGCGCTGTCCGGCACTGTCCAGCCCAAGAACAGCCGGACCCAACGAGAAACTCAGTTACAACGAGGGCTCCCATTCTTCAGCGTTCTCGTTAGTGCGCCGCAGAAATGAAATGACGTAGAACACCGCCAATAGGTCGATGACAAGGCCGGAGAGGAGCACAACATGTGGCAAATCACAGGCGACACAAACCGTTCTTCCCTTTGTGCCGCGGGAAGGGATGTCCAAAACTTTACAGGAAGCCCGATTGCTCAAAGGCAGCCGTCAAAATGGTGGAAGTGAGTATCAAATCTTTCCGTTCTTGCTAAGTCCGCTGCCAATTGTGCACGCACACCTCATAAATCTGGATAGATCCAAACCTCATTTTGAGAGCAGCTTTTGTGGCGCTATACCCTCGCCAAGCCTCAATAACCTAAGCCTATGCCCAAAACACGAAATCGCGGACATCTTGCCAGCGCAGCTGGCACAGGGCGAAGCCCTTGAAACATCCTACCTTTGTCTGAGCTGAAGCAATTGCGAGGTCTGTCGACTGACTGTCCAGCCAACCAAATTAAAGCAATCCGTCTGCTTGCAAACGAGCCACACATCCAACGGCGCACGTTTTGGCTCTTCACCAATGTTATCTTCTGTACACGCCTGCTTCGATTACAATCATGCGCAGGCTCGGCATGATATTTGGCTGACCCTGATGGCATCCGAATCCTGGAAGTACCACTAGCGGTAAGACCTTCTGCATCACCTGTGAGGTTGGCACAAGCTGTACAGTGCTTGAATTCGCGGCCGA